TGCTTACCATACCATGGGATCGCTTGATCCCTCTCGGTACATCTTCTATGCTTTGTGTGTTGATCAACTTGATTCATTCTTTGACTTAGTCTTGATCAACCTTGAATCTTTCCAACTCTCTTCATTTGGATGATGTCTTGAAGGTAAACATGAATGATCACACACTCTTCTTCTTCAAGGCATGCTTGCTATAAGCTCAATACTCATAAGACCAATCTTTGGATAATTCCTTAATCGCACCTTGGTCATCACAAACTCTCCTTGAAACCAACGAATGGACTCCAAGAAAAGCCTATGGACAAACCCTTCAAATATAACTCAAGGCAACCATTAGTCCATAGAGATTGTCATCAATTGCCAAAACCAAACATGGGGGCACCGCATGTTCTTTCAGAGGTAAAAGACTTGGGAAATCTAAAGTACTTCCTTGGCATAGAAGTGGCTCGGATAAAGAAGGGAATATCTTTGTGCCAACGAAAATACACCTTGGATCTTTTGAGTGACATGGGCATGATGGGATGTCGTGCAGCCCCTACTCCGATTGAACAAAATCATCAAGTAATAGCACAATCAGGTGAGCTAGTGAATAAGAAAGATTATCAGAAGCTGGTTGGGAGGTTATTGTACTTGTGTCATACCAGGCCTGACATTATGTATGTCGTGGGGGTGGTGAGCAGATACATGCATGAACCAAGGAGTGGGCATCTTGATATTGTTCACAGAATCCTGAGATGCTTGAAGGGGACTCCGGGTAAAGGGTTGTGGTTTACGAAGAGTGGACATCTTGAGGTGGATGGCTATAGTGACTCTGGTTGGGCTAGCTGTCAAGATGATAGACGATCAACTTCAGTCTACTGTGTGTTTGTGGGAGGAAATTTGGTGTCATGGAGAAGCAAGAAACAGAATGTTGTGTGTAGATCAACAGCAGAAGCTGAATATAGAGCATTATCTCAAGGGTTGTGTGATATGCTCTGGGTGAAGCACCTACTATGCGAGTTGAAACTCTTGAGGAAGGGACCCTTAAGGGTGTGGTGTGACAATCAGTCAGCTATAGCCATTGCTAATAACCCAGTTCAACATGATAGGACGAAGCATGTGGAAATTGATCGCTTCTTTATTAAAGAGAAACTTGATGATGGGATCATCAACCTTACTCATGTCAGCTCTGGGAAGCAGTTTGCAGATTGCTTGACAAAGGGACTGGGAACAAAGGACTGTAACTTGGCGTGTGACAAGATGGGGATGATAAATATCTACCACCCATCTTGAGGGGGAGTGTTGAACCGGTATGGGCCCTAGCCCATCAAGATCTGTCTCTTGGGCCCAAGCCCATGAGAGGTGCTAACCTAGAAGAGGAGCCCCTCTTCCCCCTGTCCCGTGCAAGCCGCCACAGACACCGAACCCACGCGAGCGACCCCGTCTGAAGG